AAAGAAAGAAAGGAAAGAAAGAAAAAAGAAAGAAAGGAAAGAAAGAAAAAAGAAAGAAAGGAAAGAAAGAAAAAAGAAAGAAAGGAAAGAAAGAAAAAAGAAAGAAAGGAAAGAAAGAAAAAAGAAAGAAAGGAAAGAAAGAAAAAAGAAAGAAAGGAAAGAAAGAAAAAAGAAAGAAAGGAAAGAAAGAAAAAAGAAAGAAAGGAAAGAAAGGAAAGAAAGAAAAAAGAAAGAAGGAAAAAAGAAAGAAGGAAAGAAAGAAAAAAGAAAGAAGGAAAAAAGAAAGAAAAGAAAGAAAGGAAAGAAAGAAAGAAAAAGAAGCATTGCATAGAGACATGTAGAAAAATGTTTGGAGTGGAAGCTCAATGCAGAATATGGAGCTGCAGGAATAATTTTTAAATGGTAGTGTCAATGGGAGGATTTATTAAAAGATTTCACTTCTGTAGGCATACAATATTTCAGCTTAGTAACTGTCCTAATTATTTTAGCTCCGTGCTGATTATGAAATTTGTTACTGCTTTTTCTGCTTGCTGCTGTGAGAAGGCAGACAAAAAGGCAGGGTTTCCTTCTTTGTAGTTCATGGTCAGGCCGCTGGGCTGATTTGAACCCAACTTTTTTGCTCATACAATTGCACTGTCTTCTCCAGAGCTGCTCCGTCAATGCACCGGTGCATAAGAAGGGAGTTTGCTGTATGTATCCAAGAAGAGGCACACTTCTGTTTCCAGCGGAGCCCACGCGGTTGCGTTGCGGACGGCCTCAGTGCTCCTCTCCAGCGCCGGACACCTTTCTCCTCCTGATGTAGCAGGATGAGAAGGTTGCGCTAAGGCAGAATTTCCCCAACCACGCTAGGGTTTACAAACGTGACAAACAAACTGGGGGTGAATTCAGGTCAGGTGTTTGCTTATACAGTACATCGTATTCAACTCGTGACATTTAATTTAAGCTCTGTTTGTCTGAGGGCCTGGGTAACGTAACGTATGCTTTGCATGTGTTAGGTTTTGCGTTCCATAAAACTGTGCTAGGCTGCGGTAATTCTGATATAATTCACAACTGGTGACTTAGGGACAGGAAAGTGTCGCGACGTGTTCTGAGACCGCCCTCCCCGAACGAGGCGCTGGGAAGATGAATTACTGCAGGCACGAGACCCGTGTAGGAGCTTTATTAGTTTTGGAATGCAATCAGCAACACTTGCTTTCTTAGTCCTTTACCTAATTATCCTCATTGCATATGGCACATACATCGAGAGCAGCCAGGAGGAATTTATGTCTCGGGTAGTCAAAGCTAGGAAATCTGTGTTTTATGTGATTTTACCCTTCTGACTTTTCTTTAGTGGTAGAAATCCCAGTACTGGCTGCATACATAAAAGCACTTTGGATGTACCTGTAGCTGATTTTTTATGTATAAGTAAACTCACTGCTGCATAATCTGCACTTGCTGAAATGTTAGCCCTAAGTAACCTTTACAGCTGGTTACGGTGCAGAGGGAGATGTTGGTATTCATGAATGTTTTGACATATTTGACATTTTCTATATGGTCTGCTCTTTCTCTGTTTTTCTGATTTCCTCCTGTCTCTGCCCCTCTGTTTTAGCAGTAAATAGTAGCCGTCAGCAGACTGTTGTGGTCTGGGTGGGGTTGGAGGCAGGAGGGTGGGTCTGCAAAGAAACTTAGGCTTTGTGGTGTTGGTTTTTGGTTTTTTTTTTTTTTTAAATTTATTTTATTTCAAAGTATGCGTCTAGGTAAATAACGGGATTATTGCATTTTAATGTGGTGCAACTATGACCAGAAGAGCTCATTTTGACAAAACAGGTGACTTGGGCTCTCTTTCAAAGGAAGCATGTCTGGCATACAGATTTGTAAAAATCTGAAAGCAAGGGATTTCTGCATAACTAGAACTTAATGTAGATGCAATATAAATGTATTAGGTTTATTACAGTGCTGGCAAGGCAGCCCTGCTTAATTCAGCAAGGTGATTTGTGATTGCTTGAGTTTCCAGTGCAATGTTTTCTGCAAGATGGAGAACGTGCCGGGCCACAGAATGACTGATGATAAAACTAATTTTGGATCAATGTAAACAATACGCGAGTTGAACAGGGCCTCATCTCTATTCAGATAATTTCTAATTTTTATCCACATCCACATGCAGCATGCCTTCCACGTGCGGCCCCTCGCTAAGGTGAGAGCTGCAGTAACGCTCGCCAGGTGTTTGGTCACCCATCGCTGTTCTCCTCGGCTCCCTCTGTTACGATCGAGCGCTTTCCGAACGTAGGCAGAGCGTGATGGGGAGGAATGTTTCTGCTGAGGAGAGATGCTACGCGAACAACTTCTGTCTGTAGACAGGCAGCTTTTTCACGTCAGCTCCCTCGGGGGGGCTGGAGCCTGCTCCCTCTGGTTCGCAGCAGCGGCGGTGATTACGGCTGTTTTTCGGCAGGCAGCGGTTGTTGCTGTGTGTGCTGGGTTAATGCTCTAAATCGCAGCACCTCG